CCTTGTTTTCTCTTAAAAGCGTTCGGTTAGTTGATCCCGTATACGCAATTCAGTTCAGCTCAACGGTGACTGAATCGTTGTATAAGTGATAGTATCAAACAGGCAAATACAATCCGTTATTATACCCTTATATTCACCCTCAAAAGAAACATATAATCATATACATCCACACTCTTGCGGGCATATGCACGTGTCTTATTTCTCTCTTGGGATATTGGTCGGTTAGTCAATGGAGCAGAATAGCGCAAGTCTGTAGCACTCAATAGAGTCGCAGCCGTTAACATGGGGTGCTCTCAAACAGACGTTTACAGACAATATGTAAGCGATGGTATTATCCTTCTATACGCACTCACAAATATAAGAGGCATACATAAACAAGTATATATATACAATTGACGCACTCGAAAATAGATACATATTATATATATCTCCCAACTTCCTCTCAGGGTATTGGTCGCCTGGTGGATCGCGTATACAGCGGTTCGGTACAACTCAATGGAGACGCCATCATTGAGTTTGTACGCCATTTAGTGGCCGTGTCTCTGGAGGAATTGGCCCAACCCCCAACCAGCGATATCACCAACAAGGGTCTGGATCATCGAATGTACTCGTTGCAGAAGATTGTGGAGGTGAGTTCGTGGATATACTGGAAATGATTCAACGTATCTTCAGTGTGAATTAGAAGGGGTTTGGTATAGGTTTGGTATAAATTGGAATGTATTTGGGATATTGATTTTGGAATCGAGTAGAACGTGTCACCTATCTCGAGAAAATTCAGATCCAGCTGTGTCCTAATTTTGTTTTGTTTTGTGCCAATTCGCAGATTGCGTACTACAACATGAACCGCATTCGCATGGAATGGTCCCGAATCTGGGTGGTGCTCGGCGACCACTTCAACCGGGTACGTCAGTGACTGTACTAAGTACTCGTCTGTTGGGTCATACACATTTTGGTTATGGGCAAACCTGAACGATCTTATGGCATTTAAGTCGGCCTGTTATTCCGACACTGACGTACATTTTTGTCCTTATTTTATGTTTATTTTTCTTTCTTTCTTAGGTCGGTTGCAATCCCAATACGCAAATAGCCATTTTCGCCATTGATTCTCTGCGACAGCTGGCCATGAAGTTCCTAGAACGAGGCGAGCTATCCAATTTCCACTTCCAGAAAGTGCGTTTTCTCCTCTGTTGCGCGTTATCTTAATTATTCATTGTACGTATTCTCCTACGTTTTTATCTATTTATTATCGTACGTTTTTATTACTATTTCACGTTTATGAATCAAGCAATTTCTTTCCGCGTCTCCAGTGATATGCTATTCGGCGCTTCGATTATAAGTCGAGTGAATCCTTTTTGATAACTCGAGTGACGTGTGGCCATCACATGCGCACATGTCTTGTCAGACTCTCTTAAACCGTTTATATAACAAGAGATCCCTTCTTAAACTCGAGAGATAAGTTATCAAACTCAAGTGATTTGTTATTAAACTTAAGTGATATGTTATTAAACTCAAGTGATTTGTTATTAAACTCAAGTGATAAGTTATTCAACTCAAGTGCCTTGTTATTAAACTCAAGTTATATGTTATTAAACTCTTGTTATTAAATCCAAGTGAGAAGTTATTCAACTCATGTGATTTGTTTTTAAACTCAAGTGCTTTGTTATTTTCTACACGCACACATGTTCCGTAGGACTTCCTGAAGCCTTTCGAATACATTATGAACCACAGCAAACGGCCCGAGATCCGTGACATGATCATTCAATGTATCACACAGATGGTTGCCTCGCAGGTGGGTTACGGTACTTGTGTCTTTAGATATGCATGAATGTATAGGTATAGTATAGGTGTAGGTGTAGGTGTAGGTGTAGGTGTAGGTGTAGGTGTATGTGTAGGTGTAGGTGTAGGTATAGGTATAGGTATAGTTTCATGTATATGTATATATATGTACATATGTATATGTATATGTATATGTTTTTATATACGTATATGCATATATATACGTATATACGAACAAAAAGATTGAAAAATCCGCATCTATTTTCAGTAACCATTTATTCGTCTTTAAACAAGTCAACCACACACAATGTTGACCGCCCATCGTATAATCATATTACGATTTGTGTCTTTGTTTCAATGTCTTCAGTCTCTCATTGTCGTCGTATTAAGGTCTGTATCTGTGTTTCAATGGCTTGACAGGCGATGAACATTCACTCCGGTTGGAAGAATATATTCTTCGTCTTCTCATTGGCCGCTGGAGATGCTTCACCTGGCATTGGTATGTACACAGGTTAGTTATAGGTAATA